GCTTTAAGCAACCCCGAAAAAACGTTGCAGGACAAAGAGTGTTGTATCTCTCTCCAGATCTTTTTCCAAGCGTTTTGGGCCACAACTGGGCCCACAATTCCAGGTACAATTTCTTGTCAATAATTTTTTCAAAAATGCAATCATTTTTTGCTGGGGAGAAACACATTATTTTCACAGTGTCATGGCAAACAATAAGATCCAAGGCCAGAGTGAAGAATTGGATTAAATCTTTGATTTGCAGATTTTCTAGGATGTTGGATTGTTCTGCACTCAGCAATTGGATGAAAGTGGGCAGTAACATAGCAGAACTCAAAAAGTGTGGAAAATGGATGATGATGGTGTTTTTTAAATGGAAAGCTAAAAAGTAAGAAGTTGTTAAGGACACAGTCAAAAATACAATCATTCACTTTAAGAAGATAAGGGCCAAAAAAGTATGAAAATACTGCTGAAAAGGAAATGTGATGAGGATGGATTGCCTACCTGACAGCTGAAGCGCTGTATTTATGACTTATATGGTAGGATTTATTGCCATGCTGCTACTGCCTCTGAAGTTAGCGCTCAATATTTTTATTCTTGCATGGTACTCGCATGTTAGATTGCAACAGTCCAGAGATTCAATTGATTCATCATTTATTCATTTGCCAAGTCATTCAGGAGCCTACAAGAAGATATACCTGAGAATACACAGGCCCTCATTGCTGATATATGACAGGGGGCTGCCTGAATCCTCAAGCCATGGTCCTTGACTGTCTCTTGGTGATGTGAGCTTTCTCAATGAATTGTGAACTCCTGGTGCCTGATTCGATTCAGCCATTAATTAAGGATTTAGCTACAGGTCATGAATGAATATCTTTGTTGTTTTTAAGTTTCATGCTGTGCAGGGCCGTAGGCCCTTAACTGAAGCTACAATACTACTATACTACCTTGATCCTAACTACAATAGAATGAAGCCACGTCCAGGTCCTTAGCCCAAACTTATTGAATCACATTTTAGACTGGACCATATGGATTAGTAACTAAAACCAGGCACAAGCCATCTACCTGTACCTACTCTACCAAGGCGCCATTTGCCTTCATTTGTATACTTCAGATCTTGTATAAAAGATAGTAACTCTTTACCAATTGTAATAGTTCCTCACTTTATCTTTTATCACTTATCGTATCATTTACTTTTCACGCTTTTCATTATAACTTACTCTTAAAAGGTTCCTTTTATTGCAATTATAGAATATAAACCTTTGGTCATTCAACATACCTTTTTGCATCTTGCCTCCCTTGTCCTCGTTATAAACTCATTGTTAAACCCTCGAAAGCATTCACCAAAGCTCAAGCCTATGTCTTTTGCCTGTGCCCTTTCGACTCACTTGTCTTACAACTCCGACAGCATAAGATCCGTGATCTTCTTCTCATATCTCCTGCTCACCTAAGATTCTAAGTGATAGCTTACAATCTTATACACTTAACGTCGGTAATCTCAACCCTGTAACAATGCAGAGTGATTTAACGAATGATCTCTGTCTACTCAGCTTCGGATTACAAACTTATACCTCATATCCCTTTTTTATCCAGAAACTCTTGAATGACCGGTTCAGTCCACTGAAATATTGAATGGTTTGATGCAAAGATGGTCATGTTCTCATTGTAGTGAAGAGAAGGTCCTGTCTGGTGCACGACTCAGGCATAAAATTAGATAAAAAGTCCAACTAGATTGACACCGACCCTTTATTCCATTTTATGATCTGTTTTCAAACCACGGACTGTTTACTCATATCTAATTGGTGAACAAGGTATTTCCTTAAAATTCTCTTAGGACAAAAATCAGAAATATATTTCTTGTTGTACGCATTTGACCTTTGAAGATAAACATTGACAAATATCTCCTCGGCCAAAAAATAATCATGCAAAAAACGAGTAAACAAAAGTTTATTTGGTTTTGATGGTTTTACTTCTCTCAAGATTGCCTTTTTTTTAATCACAATCACCTTTGGAATGATTGTTCGATTCTTAAGCATTTCACACTTACAATGAATCTCATCATTACAACTTTCCACCATGGCTTTACGGACAGTTTGCCACTCTTGATCATCCATATCACATTGTAGGTTAGCAATAATATTGAGGGGAGCTACAACCACAGTGTCAATTTACTAGTCACCGGCAGGCCAGTGAGTTCCATTCACCTCAATCCAATCACAATTCAATGTCAGTCCAATATCAGTTTGACCTCCAATTATGTTTGAGTGGGGGATATGCATGGGCTGCATGATCTCTCAAACCTTCCAGACATCCAGACACCTTCATGTGTGGACATGCAGCAAACTTTATTCCAGTTCATTCTGGAAGGTTGTTTGTCCGCTACTCTAGCCCAAACATTGAGATTGGATTGATATTGACCTGACATGGATTTGAGATTGGATTGAGATTGGATTGAGGTGGACGTATTCACTGGCCTGCCAGTGAGTAGTGAAATGACACTGTGAATGGATTTGGTTACTTGACAGGAAGAGCCAAAGCCAGTTATTTCTGAAAGCTTTGGATCAACTGGTTCATGATTGGCTTGGTGTGTGGTGGATGGACGGGTTTGGTGATTGACATCCGTAGCCCATACCATTTCTACAACCCCATTGCAAGCTTCAAAATCGACTTTGACCTTATAATCATTGAATAAAAATTTGCTTTCTTTGATATAACTGTCTTTAGCAATGATACTGCGGCAATAAAGCTTTCCACCTGAACAATATATGCTCCATACCCCATATGAATAGCCGAATTCATCATTATCCTTGTGCTTAGCATTATGGAATTCATCCCTAGTGATTACAAAGTTGGACCCAGAAGCTCTTCCATTTGGTGAATTGAAGAACAATTCTGAAGCCCAAGAAAGGTTTCCATATTGAGCACATAATTGCACATTGGAACAAAATGCAAGAAGGGAAAGAGATGAAAAGTGTTCAGCTAAGAAATGTTGGATGTAAGGGAGATGCTTTTGTCGTCTTGAGTCATGTTGCATTTTTAATATGCATTTAGCAGTTTTAGATTTCAGTGCATATGGTCCTAAGATACAATATGGTCAATGCTTTTATATGACAGAAAAATCATTAACAGTTGTAATCACTCACCACCACAAACCCCTTTTTGATATCCAGCTCTGAATCCAATGGCAAACATCTAACCCCACTGGGTTTTATTCAGTATGACTGTTGCACCATTTGTCTTGATAGAATAGTGTGCAGTTGCATGCTGGTAGATAGTAGTTACGGAATTATTGAAGCACTTAAATAGATACTTGCTAGAGGTAGTTTCTATTGTATTTCCAGTCTTCCTCTTTTCATCCTTGTATTGATGTGAATTGAATGGAAGCACAGCAATTAATTTGGTGCTATAAGAGTTCAGGATTACAACAGTTCCATAGCTTAGAATGAGAGTTTTTTGCCTTTTGTCCTCAGATCGGAAGACAAAAGTGGCATCGCGAGGAAGACCCAATTGGACTTGAAGTTTTTCTTTGAATTCATATCTTATGCAAGCCCTGTTTGTCTTGAAGGTTGGTGTAGATTCAAAGGTGGCCCTAGGAGACAATTGGAGTTTGTTGATTCAGTGCAATGCAGCTTCAGAGCGCTTAGTTGCTACCTTAATTTGTAGAGTGCTCTTGCGTTGAGCTATGGTCGATTTGGATTGATGTTTAGGCTTATTTGGTTTAGTCTCAGAATCCATCATCTAAAAACAAATAGCACCAAAATTGCATAGTATTCAGAATAACTAGAGAGATCCAGGTGTCTAGCAAAATTCAAACATTGAACTGCTGTGTGTAGTGGAACCACAGTTGCATGAAGAGAATCAAGTGGACTTGAACCGGGTTCAACTCTAGCTACCTTGTTTACAAATCAACTCCTACATCTCGGCCATCTGTCAGAGTGTGAAGGAATATGTAGTGTTTTTCCAATAAAAGATCAATGAAATCAGGAAACTCAGGTAACATCAACAACCACAATTGTGAGTTTAGGGTATGCAAGATCTCATATCTCTGTCAGACACATGATACACTTTATAAATCCTAAATCCTCCATACACACTTCTGGGGGCAGGAAAATGTCTGATCTCACATTACAGTTGATGTTACTTAAAGAAGCGAGTAGATCAAATCTGTCTAGAGTTGATGTTTGAGAAGAAGCTGAAGATGATAGGTATGTGTGAATTGGATTTATATGTCCAAGATGATTTTTGTTAGATTATGTTGACAATTTGATTTTGTTGATTTTGATGAATAGAATGTAAGGTGATGATAAAGATTTGATTTTGTTGAATGAATAAGAATTATAGCCACAATAACTTTTTGATATGATGAAGATGATTAAAATGGGATCATTGTTGAAGTGATAATGATGGGATTGATGCCATTGATCAAGATGTAAGACCACAACAATCATGAGTCTTTATGTTGTTCTTTCAAAAGAATGAAGAACAGACAGACACGACTCTAAAGAGGAACGCTCTAAGATCAATTATTTATTATAACAGACGGACACAACTCACCCAAATAAGAATGGTCTAAGATTGATTATTGATTATTAAAACTATCGATGATTGGAGAGTGATTGATTTTTAAATGGCCAGCTGATATGAGGTAGATGGTTGACTAAGTACTCATAATAAGGAAGGGGAGGAATCGAGGAAATTTGGATAGATGGTTGACTAAGTACTCATTTATAGCACTGATGTGTGGGAGAGTAGAGTATTTGTTTTATGCTTTTCCTTTACTGTTGACAAAAAATGAAACACTTTGCTCTGCTTGATCAGGTTGTTGCGCCAATGTGTGAGAGAATACAGCCTCTGACCTGTGCTTTTCCTTCCCTGTCAACAAAAAAGGTAATAATTTGATGTGCTTTTGGCTGCTATGTGACCTCCTTCCTGCTATTTTCTGCTTGATGCAACACACTCTGCATTCATTTTTTTCAACGCTTATATAAGGTGATATCATAGACACCCAAGCACAGCACTTTCAGATGGCACATTACCAATGTGTCAGGAGTGTTAAACAGTAAGTATAGCTATGTATTGCTCGATTTGTTTCATCAAAGAAAAATCAAACAAAATCCTCCTTTATTCAAGGCATATTTGTGAAGATTGTGCAAAAAAACTTCAAAAAATGGTCACATGGGAAAGCTGAAAACAAGTTGATTGACACCAAGTTTACTTGGAATACAAAATATCAAGGCCACATGTGGAAATCTCTCTTCCTAGGTATATCAAGGATATTTGTATCAAGAATGAAAGTATTGAATTCCAAAGAAAAAAACCTCTTCCCTCATGTCATGCCATTTTAATCTGGTCATGTTGAACCTTTTTCTATGGTGTTCATTCTTTTTTATATCTTCTTGCTTGAGACCTTTTTTATCTGGTGATTTTTTTCTTCTTCAATGTGACAATTTCAACATCAGAGTTGGGCTGTCCAAAAGTCCGTTTGGCGTGAGGGCAATCGATGCTGTGTTGCTTTGAATAACTAGGGGAGGTACTTTCATCTCTCTTGCGCTTTTTGTTGCCACTGCAACCCTCCCCGTGAATCAACTTCCAATCTTTCATGAACATATGTCAAAAATCAATCAGTTTCATGTGTGGCTTGCTCTGGACAAAGTCTTGAACCTTTTCCTTCTTTTTCATATGACCAATGAACCGTGCATGTCTATTGATTGAAGGCTTTGAAGCTTCATATCTTGTACCATAATGAAGAGTCCAGGCATCCATATAATCCAAATTGGGGGTTATTGACTGAAACTATTGAAGCAAATCAACTAGTGGACTTTTTCCAGGCCAAGATTCCAACTAGATCAAAATTTTAAAATCAATATCAGCATTTAGTAGTTATTGATGCTTATCAGATTCATGGAAAAGCACTTACCTCATGGTATGTTTGTCTACTGAATTTGAGGGTTGGGCTTTCTGGGTCAAAGTCACTTGGTAAGTGGGCCAATGAAGATGCTGTTGCTACTTTTGAACTTGGCTGTTTAGTCAGAGGAACTGGTAGGCTGACCCAAATCACACCATTATCAATTATATTTGGCGATGTTATTGGTGGTATAACCCAAGAGAAGTCTGCTAAGGTGTGATTGGGTTCTCGTCCGCAAGTTGGAGAAGAAGTTGGGCTGAATGTTGATGAATTGAATTTAGATATACACATTGCTTCTTTTACTTGGGATGGATGTAGGGAGTCTATTGACACCTGGAGGTCACCCAAGGCATCTGGCTCAGAATGACCAAGGTAGACAACAATTTGGCGGGGTTGTTTTGGATAATAAATTACTTGACAACTCAGTGAAGTACACCACGGGGCCGCTGGCAGGTGAGCATCAGGTGAAATCACCCTCTGCCCAAAAATCCCGGGCTCTCCACCTGAGGCCACACTGATTGAGCTACAGGTGAAACTCAGGGTGGCCAACACCTGATGTGATCATGTGTCCACAAGGTGATGGCTCAACTGTCCATTAAATGAGACGTCTCACCTGTTCATTGGGTGAGACTTCTCATATAATGGACAGGTGAGCCATTGGATAAAACTTCTCCCCTGTTCATCAGGTGAGAAGACTCATATGGTCATGGTACAAGAAGTCTCATGCCATGATGAGGTGAATCTTCTCATATGGTCATGGTAAGATCCAAAGAGGCTTACACCGTGACCATACAAATCATCTCACCGGATGAACAGGTGAGAAGTCTGGTTCAATGGCTCACCTGTTGTGGTGAGATATTTACACCTCAATCATCTCACTTTTTGGTTCTGAGTAAAACCATCTTTATCTTTAGTTATTGAATCAATATCACGTTGTAGAACTCCTACACAGTGTAGCATAGGCTGAGCCGGAGAAGGTAAGAATCACCGCCTAGAAGAACGGATGAAACTACGGTGCTGTGAAGCTGCCTTCAACCTGAAAAAATTCTACGAAAAAAATACGTAGGACAAATTTCAAACACTTCCGCCGTTACAAGTTTCCCGTAAACCTAATTTACCCCGTACAGTGATATGCACACTTTATAAACCCTATTTATCCCTCCACAACTGATACACACACACAAAGTTAAAAAAAACAACTTAAAAAAAACACAACTTTTCCAGGAATTGAACCCAGGTTCAGTCCTTTCCTACTGGCCCTGATCTGGCCCTGACTCGAGTACTGACTGGAACAAAATAAAAAAATAAAATAAAATAAAACCAGTAACCCTCCTTCCACTCGACTTCAACTTTCAACAACACTTCAACACAATTACTCAATTCTCCAATGTAAGTTTTTCTTTCCTTCTTTTCCTTTACTTCTTTTAAACTAATAGCTAACTAATAAAAAACTTGCTTTTTCTCTTTTACTCTTATCTTTGAATACTTAGAACACTCGAATCAACACTTTAACTTAATTCAAACACTAACACACTCTAAACAACACTAGAATACTTTTTTAAAAAACACTCGATCGACTCCTCTCGATCCTACACAATGCCATCCTTTTCCTCTTCTTTTCCTTCAAAAGCCCCTCCTTATATAACCTTCAACTCCCAAAACTCCGACCGATTCTTTTTCTTTCACCCGACCGATTCCAATTGATTCCGAGCGTCTCTCATGCCAAGTCATTCTCATCCGACTCGATTCTAGCCCTATTGACACCAGGTATGTTCATTTCATTCTACTTCTCTCATGCTATCTCTGCTTTCTATTGCTAATGACATCATCTCTTTTATCTTTAATCTAGTCGCTCCCAGCTTAACTCCTTCCTTCAATACTATCAATTCCAATTTCGATTTTTAGCTCCTTTCACACTTGAGGTATGTCTTCTTTTAGTTTCATTCTTTCTTCTACTTTCACATTCTATCTTTTACCACACTAACCATTCCTTCTGTTTCTTTCTTTCTACATTTTATACCAACTAGAGTCATCTGATTTTAATTTCGATTTTAGAGCTTGATTGATTACTGTTCTTTTTGACTTCTTGATGAGTTTCAAGTTAGATTGATTAGATTGATTGTTAATGTGTGGTGTATTTTCAATTTTAATTTATTCATTCTTTCAATTTATCATTTGTATCTTGTTCTTGTTGTGTGATAGTGTTTTGAAATTGTTTCTTTTTGTAATGTTTATGTTGAATTAAAGGAATAAACTGAAGGTTGATGTTCCAAATGATAAAAAGAAAATCAATAGTTTGTTTAAATCAAACTGATCTAAAGAAATTGAAGAACTGTGAGTTATTAAAAGATTCTTTTAAGAAATCAAGTTATAAGTTTTCAAGAAATGTAAGATGAAATATCAAGTTTGACTGTGATGTGAAATATAATGATATAGTACTGTGTCAGTATATATGCTCTCAGGATTTGATTACCACAATGTTTTTTTATTGTCCTTCAATTTGATTTCAATCTCAAAGGTACATTATTGAGAATGAAATGAAGACACATATCAATTTTTAGTTTTCTCAAAGTACAATCATCACTTACCCGCCAAGGAATGAGATCACAGAGTTGTGCTGCTGTTCTGTTTTTCACAATGGGAGCTGAATACAACGGCTGGGAGGGGCACCACGGGCAGCACAGCCCACTCAAAGAGCCAATGAAAGGTTGTGGGAGGGGTTTTGTAAGTGGATGATGGTGTATGTAAGAGGCTCAAGCCTTTGATTGGGGCCAAGACATCCTTGACAAGATGAGGAATTGTAATTTTTTTGCATCTTCTCCTGTGTCACCTACAAAAAACATCACCATGATGCTTTTGTGACTGTGAAACAAAATAAAACATCTATTTCACATTTGGTCATCACATATACTAGCCATGACACTTTGGGTCACAATGAAACGTGGGCGCCACTGTATTAAAGACTATACAGCGCAAGTCCATATCCAATTTCCGGCAATGCTCTGGTACTCTTGCTTGAGGAGGACCCCCAAAAAGAATGATTAGGGTTCATAAGTCCGAACATGTGCTGGAGGGTTGGATCAGACTCAAGAAAAAAAAACCCCACTGAGGTTGGTTTGGAATGGATTTGGTGTATCAGATCAAGAACCGCCAGGTATCACCCCCGGGGCATCACTTTGCGGATCCACGAAAACTACCAAGCTGTATCCAAGAGGTACATTGTGGTTAGGATCCCCAAGGCAGAAAGAGATGTGATGGTTGACATAAGAAATACGTACATTCAGGTTGTTTCTTCTGCACAAGCTCTGCCACAAACACCATGAGGTTACTTGACAAAACCGGAGTCATGGGTTGATTTATTTGCAGCCAATCCAGCATCATTTGCTTTGTCACACCTGGCGCGCTAGGATCCAACATCTCTAATTGGAGAAATATAAAAGCTAAAGGGGATGTGTGTATGGAAATGAGCTGGAAGAGTCAACAATCTAGACAACAAAGCGGAAATACCATGTATGATTATCTTCAGTTTCTTTTCTAGCGCTTGGAAAATTGTAAGTGTAGGTAGATAAAGTATAGACTTGCACTTACATCTTAACAGTCTTCAAAGGTATTAGACAATGAGTTAGAGAACTATGGCCACCAGTGGCAAAAAGGATTGAGGGGAAGATGGAAGTGGGAGTGATGTTCAGTGTGCAAGATGTGAGAGTCAAGCCTGGTTATATACTGGAGAGGTGAAGGGGAGTTGAAGTGAGACAACCATAGACCTGTAACATGGGTAGTGAACAAAAAGATAAACTCCTGAGTCCTGAACTGGAGGAAGTTGAGTTTGTTGTTTGACCAAAAATGGTGTGGTCTTTGTCTTGAACCAACAGCCAGCATTGGAACCTTTGTCAAGATCTACTAGCAATGAAAGAAAATATGTCGCAAAGGTATTAATCAGAATTTGTCAGACATTGAAGGATATATTGAAAGGAGAGTGAGTGCCTCACAAGAGAAACAAATACATACCCTGATTCAGCAAGAGCCAATGCATCTATGTATGATGAGGCTTGTTTGTATTGAATTGTCAAGCACAACTAGCTGAAGGGGTTCACGGAGTTTGACAAACTCTTGACCTGGGAAACCATGAGCTGAAGGGAGAGTCTGAAAGACTTGAACAATCCAGAGACTCCATTGACCTTGATTAAACTTACTGTTCAATGGTACTATACTATTGTACCTACTGTAATATGTACTGTGGTACAATACACCAAGTCAAATACATATCAAGACACACATAGATCAATACTTGGATCAGGAATGCAACCAATCCTTTTCTTGTATTCTATACTTATGTGAGCATACAATTATGGTTTGTATGAGTATAGAAAACAATTTTCTATGTGCAAGGTATTTTTCTATACTCCTAGGAAAAAAGGTACTTTGGCGTAGTGTAAGCCACTATTTCAAATCCAGATTGATGGGGTCCTAGTGTTTCTGACCTGACTCATTCCAGTTCTTCCACTGAAGCTATACATTCTAAAATCCTAGGCACTCACGAGAGAGAGATAGACCAACCCTCTGTCACTGGTAAGTATCTTGATTGCCTCTTGACTCTTACAAAGCTTCCGCTGACCATGATGCAATGACTTCATTGCAAGACACAGAAATTCACAAGAATGAGTGTAAGCCAACTGTTACCAGCAAGTGTCAAGATATCAAGAGTGACAAGCAAGAAGCAATATACAAGAACCAATTGTTTTTGGACATTATAGAATTTGTCAGCAACGACATCTCCCTTGCTCCAGGTATTGATAGATCACAAGTAGCTTTTTGATGTGCTCTGAGAGTGTGGTATTTATTTTGTATCAATCCAATCAAAGCGTCTGTTTTATTTTTCCTTTGAGTGGAGGTTGATCCACTGTTCACATCAAACAACCTGTTGCATTTTGAAGGATTAAAACTGATAATTGAGAAATCTCAATAGGAGGTTTGATGGATCTCAAATGTCAGAGTGTAATATCAAAGCACAAGCAAAACTAACCAGAGACCCTCAGTCCATCTTTTGACAAAAGAGTTGACCAATTGCTCAGAATTCATGAAAGTGGTGACAAGTCGGGTAAGAAACGGTTCATTATGAATAAATCCGTTTATTTCATCCGCAGGCCCTTTTGTAATGCTCCCCTTGATCAATGATAAGTTTAGAACCCTTTATCTTATAAAGTCTACATGTCAGTCAAC